TTATTTTGTGATGAAATGCATTTTGCCACTTTTTTATATCAAATAACGTGACCATCCGTTTGTAATGCGTGAAACATCCACGAAGCAAATTGTGGCGCGCGAGAGACATTTCTTCAGAAAACCTTGTCAACAGAGGGCGCTGTCGTTTACTCACGACGGACGATTTTGGCGAGCTTTTTCCCGCGTCTCGGAAACACCTTCCTTCGTCTAACTTGAGTACCCAGCAGACTCTAAATAACTTCCAAATACCTTTGTAATTGTTATTATAAATGTATGTCGAAGTATTTCGACTGTATTCTCTGATGTCTGGGTCAGGTACGATTTTAAACCACTGTGAATTGGCGGCTTCAAAACGTGATCAACAATAACGTAGTGTGATCCCGGTGACGAGAGAAAGTGAGGCGGTAAGGCCAAATTTTGGGGTTCCTGTGTCACTCTCAACTTTTGGTTTATTGGAGATCTCCACTTTGCTCATGAAAAGACCTGCCAGTACAAGATTATTAATTTAAACAAACATGAATCTTTGGTTCCATAAATTAAATTAAGTTAAATATCAATGTCCATGATCATTGAAGAGTATTGCTGGTGCTACATGTAACTTAAGATGTAACATGTACATGCTGCGGATTTCCAAGGTCATGCATAATATATTGTACATGTACATGTACAATAACAAAGGTGGAGGTACACGTACGTGCACACCACATTGCAAATTTGACATTCAACTTGCACCCTGCTACATACAGCCACTTTTATGACCTTATATTAGCTATTATATAACTCGCTATATACATGTAACTCACCAGTCGATGTAGCTAATGTGCCCCTAGCCTAGGGTCCCCAACCCCGCTGGTACAATTCAGCAAATCCACAGGACCATTCCAGCCCTGAACCTGACGACTACAAAGTCGTCTAGAAGTTTTGGAAAAGATCCAAGGCTGTGGCGCGAACGACCAATTTACATGTTCATGGGCACCGGAGCTTAACTGATTGCAACTTAATCCCTCTATTAATCGATCTGGACTATTAAATATTTATCCATTTGCATAACTCACATAACAAAGACATTAAAATTTTATAAATGAATGCATTATTAAACCTGGCACTATCTCTCGTGCCCGCATAGCATGTCCAAATCACCAAGATACTACTACACGTCAACGTACCGAACGATTCATGGACAACATGAATAGCGCCCTCATGTGACCCAGCACTTAACAATTAGCAAACACCACAACAGTACGCCTCCAAGCAGTTGGAACATGTTGGCCAATCACAATTAGCGAGACCTGTCGACCCAATGCGCGTTTGCAAAGTGTCGACAGATTTCGCGCGTTTGTGATTGGCGAACGTGTTCCAAACTCTTGGAGGCCCACTGAAAATATTGCATAATCGGCTGTATTATTTAAATAATTATAATTTCCTTAATAGAGCTGCTCTTTTCTATACCAATGGCACACTTCTTCCCTGTGGTAATGCTATTGCTGGCCGTCAGTACAAAAACCAAAGAATAGTTCAATGAGTGGTACTAGCTACCAAAACACTCAATACAAAAATCACTTCTACTGAACACAAAAATGAACAATCCCATTCGAAATGAACAGGACAAATGGAAATTCTGAACTAAAAATCTCACACTGATCAATACAGGTGCATCTCTGCAAATCTTGTCAGCCAAACGTTTGGTATGCAATTATTATGAGAGCGATTTCTTTTCGATAGTAACAGTTATTCTAAACCAAAAGGGAGAAATATTACGTCTGATATATTATGTCATTTCTGCGACGTACAATCTCGTACAGGCTAGTCGACAATAATAATACAATCGTTACGGTACATAATATTATTCGAGTGCTGGTCAACGCGTACACCATACCATCTCGTACACTTAATCACTCATCCGAAGATGAAGACAGAGATTTTGACTGGTAGAGGTGGGTCATTGTTTATCTCGGCGTTGTCCTTGAGCCACAAGAGCAAGCAAATTTACTCAGAACAAATACAGATGCTACGATTGCAGATATGTAGATGCAGATGACATCGACTAAAATTTGTTGGTACCAGGCAAGGCTCTCTGTATTGGTCCGCAGATGGGCGGTACCGTGTTCGATGGCGGACTCTATCCGGCGGGCTGTCTGAGCCAGGGGCCAGATCTCACGGGAAAAGCTTAAATGGTCCCTTAACTTTCCCGACGCTCGCTTAGCGTTCTCGCTGTAACTGTAGGTATATAAAAATGCACACAAAGAAACTAGGCACGGGAGCAAGGTTGAATGCCACAACCCCCTCAATAAAAAATAAGGCAAGTGTGACAAGACAACTTGATTCAGTTTGGTTCAATTATCAGGTAGTTTGTGCCATGATATCTACGTACATGCAGCTGTTGACCGCTGCATGACGTGAATATAGCGCCATTATACCAACTTTAATTCAGTGTAATATGTGTTAGATTTGTGGCTGTGTTGTTATACAACTTTTTAAATCTTGCACTCGGAAAAGAATGACCTTACTCTGCTGAAGGGAACTTAGATAAGTCCCTTCCATTGCATCCCGAGTTCCACCCCCTTGGAGGCTGCATACATTTGCCAAGTTAATATTCATATTTTGATTAAGAAGATGAAAAAAAGAACCATGACTCTTCATCTTCGAGGTTTAAATATTTATTGACAGTACAGAAACCCCAAAAATGTTCAACTGAGAGCCATATAATTTTAAATGTTAACGAGGATTTGCTCTGGAGCCACGGACAGTTGAATAGTTTGGGTGGGTGTCTATCTTAAACTCAACTTGAGTACTTACGATGGGTCATCCAGGACACCTCTGATGCCCTGGTAAAGTTGCTCGGACGTCAGACCCCGCATCCCCTTCGGGAAATAGTCCGCCATCCCTACGCGGTACTTCAGCCGAACCAGATCGTCCACCTGATCCGTGAACATGGGAATCCCCAAAATCGGTACGCCGTAATACATGGCCTCGTAGCCTCCATTCAAACCGCCGTGGTAGATCAACAAACGCGTTTTCTCGTGCGCTGCATTGAAGCAAATTATGGGCAAGGTGGAAGAAGTTTCTTCAAACATTTAACGTGGAAAACGTAAATTGATAATTCAAGCTAAATCTGGCGCTAAACTTTCAACACATCCACATACGTATTGCAATGCGGATATAAATAGAAAAGCCACGCACAGAATTACATTTCACACTTACCGATCAGGTCTTGTTGTGAGATCCAGGGGGCGATCATGGTGTTGTTGCCGAGAGACGCGGGCCTCTTGTCCCCAAGGTATTTCCAGATGACTCGCTGGGGGAGTTTGGCCAGCGCCGTGGCGATCATTTCGGCCATCTCCATATCCATGACGTGCAGAAGGGTGCTGACAGAGAATATAATCACTCCTTGTTTGCCAGAACCTTGGATGAAAGTTTCGAAATCCTGAAGAGCAAATGAAGGAGATGCTTCAGAGAAAAATGAAGCGCAACACATCAATCATGACCATACTTGCATTGAAATCTTGAATTTTCAATGGCCATTTTCATTTTATTGGCTTAGCCGGCACCCAGTTCATGTATGTGCAGTCGCACCAGGACAACATAAATTCTAGCAATGTTGTCTTTGTGATTAGAACCTTGAATAGCAAGAAGTGACGCACCAACTCACACGGGCCACTTGTGGGTTTGAGATAGCAATGGAGGAATGATGCAATTTTTAACCTAGAATTATTGTCGTAAATAAGACATGACTGATTTCAAAAGTTATACCTGAGGCAGCGGTTTGGGCGCGCCGATCGTCAGCCCACCTATCAGAATTGTGTTAGGAGAGATTGGCCTGGGAAACTCGATATGAAAATCCCAATTTAGGATGAAGAGTTCGGAGCGTGCCATGATTTCTCTTGCTCCCAACCGAGTGTCAAAGCCGGTCTCGGCCCTCGCCCTGTCCACGCCAGCAAACAGGGCGTAGTTGTAGATGAGCATCGACGCTGCAGACACCAGGAGATTCTTGACCCGCTGGGGGAAGGTCATGCTGTCAGTGTAGCCAGTGACAAACTCGGGGACGTAAGACAGGGGACTCGACTGGTTGTACCACCGGCTGTACCTCGTGCCAAGAAAGCCTCCATTCACCGTGTTTATGAACGGCACCTGGAGAACATCATGAGCGACGACGCTGCAGGCCGGGAACATAACCTCGCACAAGACCACGTCGAAGTTAGCCGCACGAAGACCATCAAAATCCACACCCAGGAAAAACGACTTCAAATTATTTTCCAGATTTTTGAACATGTACTTCACTTCGTCCTCTGATTTCCCTAGCCACATCTTTGCATACCTAAGTGACAAAAGTTTGAAAAAGATACAAATTGAATAATTGGATTTGTGCGAAAAGGAAAACTTATCTACAAAATGCATGTTGATCATGACATACTCGTGAACAAACTCATTAATTAAAACCTTGGAGCTCGCCTATCCGTTCTCACATGGATGGCCAACTTCCTGAGCGGGGCAGCGTGTCCATTATCGTGGTGAAACCAGTAACTGGAAATTGCTTAGTGGCGGTGTCCCGCAGGGAACGCGCATTGGCCCCCTGGGTTTCCTTACACTAGTTAATGACTCACTTGAAAACTCGCCACTCACCATCCTCAAGTATGTGGATGACTTGACGATGGTGGGGAAAATAAAACAATAAGACTCCATGAGATATGCAATGCCACCTCGACAATTTGGCTGAGTGGGCCGTCAACAATGATACGAGACTGAATGTCTATAAATGTGCACCATGCAGATTAAATTCGCTAAAGAAGCCCCAACCAAGCAACCTTTAACAATCAATGGCTCTCCTCTGATATCAGTCAAGGCAGTTAAAATGTTGGGACTCAAAATAACCAAAGACTTAGCCGTGTCCGAAACGGGCTTCCAGAGCTACGGCTAGGTCTATTGTCTGCGTGTCTCCACGTACTTTCAATGGAGTGAAGACCTAGACCTAGCTCTAGACAACAGATTCAGATGCAGCCTTAAGATGGAACACCCATGTTAAATCCCTTCTGAAAAAAGGCAAACCGAAAGATTCGTATGGTAAAGACATTGAAGCATTTTAATATACCATTGCAGGACATGGTTACAATTTATTCAAGTTATATCAGACCCATAGCTGAGTAATCAGGTCCCATTTGGCTTTCAGGGCTAACTGCTGGAGAAAGCGAAATGCTGGAAAAAATTCTGCGTCGAGTCTATAAAATAATGCTGGGCAGGCAGTACACAGACTACGAACATGCACTTCTTGCCTGCAACCTCAACACTTTGGCTGAAAGGAGAGAGCAGATGTGCATGAAGTTCTTTGAAACCCCAACTGCACCTGAACACTTCAGCATTTGGCTACCACCAAGTAGAAGCGATGCATCAGCGGGATTTCAGAAACTCTGACAAGTTCTCTTTGCCTTTCTGTAGAACAAGGCGGTACCAAAAAAGTAGCATCATTTATATGACTAAGAAGTGGAATGAAAGTCATTAATATGGTGTAATGTAGGACTGAACTATGACTCATATTTGTTACACAAATACAATTGTTTTTATTGATAACTAAATTTTAAGTATTGGCTCTTTTATTCGATGATATTCTATCGATACTCCTGTTTACTATTCCCCCCCCTCTCTCCTTATATTTTCATTCTCCCCCATTCCTCCCATTACATATGCTCCACGTCCATCAACCCCCGATTCTGTCTGTTTGTTTTACTTCCCGGGTTTCCGTAATCATCAATTTGTAAATTCTAAATGTTTTATATTTTTTATGACTGCTAGTTTCTATCATTTCTATCATTTATGTATTGTTTTTTGTCCACTTTTGCACTTTGACAACGCTTTGACCTCAAGCTGCTTTGATTTATTTTTTTATATTTTCTACACCCGAAAATCTCTTTAATCTCAGTATGTGTATATGTGTCTTTTATGTAACTATTCTGCAATTCCGCCGCTGGCGGCGAAAGAATGAAATAGTAAACCAATAACAACATTAATAATAAAAAGATGCAAGAACACCTCAACAATTCTCTAATTGATTTATAAAATTATCTGATGATAAGGTTTAGGCCCACAGTATGCCGAGCACAATTAACAGTTGTTGACTGCTGCATTTGTTGTGAGGTGGGATGTGACGTTTTGAAAACCCAAGGGACGCATAGCTTCCGAGGGTGTTCAAAACGTCATATCCTGCAGTCAGAGCGGTCAACAATTGTTTTGTCATATCCCTGTTTTCAACGTTTTCAGTGGCGTAACTACAGAGAGGTCACGGGGTACGTGCCCTTTGGTGCCCCGTCCCCCATTTGAAATCCGTGAATATTGTGTTTTAGCTGCAGCTTATTTTCTTGTGGGGGCCCCCTTGGAAAAATGTGTGCACCCCCGGACATTTAGCCATAGTTACACTACTGAATGTTTTCACTTATTTTTCTTAGGGAAATTCAGAGCGACAAAGGAATCGTCGAACACTAGCGGTCCCTACATTATCCTGCACACTGTCTGGGCGGGCGGGGGTGCGTGAATGCGTGCAACTTCGTACAACGCTAACTGATGAGATGTCGAAAGGTGAGTGTGACATGCCGTTTTATTTTACCACGATGATAGATTGCAATTTTTATTAGTCGAGAATCGACCACATAAGCCACAACACGCATGTACCCAGGATAGCGAGAACATGAGCGATGTTCGCCGTGGTAAATGAGTGATGTTGAAAGTGATGTCTCCACCGTGTTGCATTTTTGCAGCCTTTGATAAAGTGAGGTTGTATCGCCGCGCTGGTACTGCGTTAGCTGATGTAGGCCTATACTTGATGTGCTATTTCTGTTAGTAACCCCGAAGTTTCAGATGTTACCCAGGACAGAGTTAAATAGCTTTCTGGGAGATGTCTTCGGAAATAATAAGACAAAACATATTACTTCCTACAAATTGCAAATGGGTTGGATTTGTTGAACTAAATACTTTGTTGGTGAAGACAATATCATTGAAATGAAATGCACGGTGACGCAGTTGAATATATTCACTTTGTTCCCGGCATTCGTTTGAATTCTGTTGGGTACTTTGGTATACTGACAAAATAATAGTTGCCTGTTGTAATGGGATCCATGGGTTTTGTACACCTCTTGGGGCAACTGCTTCGCATCGGATGCCACTTGCCTCCTCGGGTGCAAAAAAATACCATGGACCCCTACACAGCGGGCAACAATATTACAATATAGCCCTGTCATAACGTAATCATACTGAGCTAATGAAAAACAGTATTGTAACCATCATTATAACAATAGCACTGCTTTTCAAGACAGAGATATGAAAATGTAAATTGAAGCTTTATGGCATGCTTGTAATTATTGATGTGGCTGAACAAAATGGATACAATATTAATCATTGAAAGAATGACAGAAACGGGATTCGAGCCTTATACGTCGGAATAAGTCCTGGCCAAACCACAATGCTAGTGGTTCATGAAACTTTAAGTGTCCCTAAGGTGGATGTGCGTAATGATGGTCTTATAGTGATATATATTACTTCAACGAAATGTTAGAATATATCTATACTCTACCAAGAAAACGATGCCATTTCTCCGTTCAAACTCTTCCGAGTCCAGTAATCCAATATTTTTTGCTGTATCTCACGGGTCATTGTTGCGTCGAAGGTGCGGAAATTGATCAGCTGCTTATCTTCTTCCGTAGGCCAGTAAAGAAGAACCTTTGCCGTTAACCAGGTGACATTGTGGCCCCTTGAAGCCAGCTCTCTGGCCAGGAGACGCTGGATGTGGGTGTGGCTCCCATCCATCAAGCAGTCAATGATGAGAATCCGTTTCGCTGTGCCGTTGGCCCGAGTCACCGCGCCCTTCTCCTGCGAGCTCGCCGCGTCAGCAGCCGGCGTAAGCTGGTTTTGGTTAACGGTTATTTCGCTGCCAAACTGGCCCGCCTTAAACTCTCGAGATACTTTGTCATTTTCCGCGCTCGCACGTTTGCTGTTGCTGCTGTCCTGGGTTGAATCGCCAACAGCGTTTTGTCCGCTGGCTGTAAGTCCAAGTATACAAGCAAAAACTGGCAAAAACACAAACAGACCTACTCCTTTACCCATGACTGCAAGAATCTCCGTACTAGCGTGTTGAAGGCAAGGTAAGTGTAAATGGTATGTGGAGAGATGCAGCCATTCTCTTGTTGACACAAAAAATAACACGGCTACCCAGCATATAAATGGTATGTGGAGAGATGCAACCATTCTCTTGTTGACACAAAAAAATAACACGGGTACCCAGCACATTTTGTGACGGATGTAATCGCTTACACATATAAGTAGATTCGCGTTTAGCGGGCCAATGGCAGCTTGTATTGCAGACGATAGTGGGCATCCTGTCACTCTACAACTGCTGCTTGGCAACAAAAAGAACGCTAACGTCCTTTTTTGTGAAACGACTAACTCTTCACGAAGTGTGACCCGTTTCAAGAAATTAGTTTAAAGTTCCCAGAGCCACTTTAATGAACCTGAAAGTAGAAGGTCACGCAGCGGGTCACGCAGTGAGCATTCGGAACCCCTGAAGTGGTATATTGCTTTGAGTTTATTATCTTACAAGTTATACAACTATGTAAAATATTTTGATCTGTTTTTATTTCGGCTTTTACTGACAGACTACCATAAACATTTCAAACCTTAAATGTTCATCTGCGTACAAGACTGCCCCATTGCACTGTTCTTCATATATTTTAGATTTTCGGAAGTGACGGGTCAATTATTGGCAGAAATTTTCTCTTTTAGGTCAGGCTCTATTGTGAGCTACAAGCCATTGAAAAACCACACACCTGGAAATAAGTTAGAATACCATGTTTCAATTATTTATTGATATCCGAAATGGAGCATATTAAGAGTAATTGATGCTTGCTGTGTAGGGGTCCATGGTGTTTTGTATAATTCCCCAATTGAACGAAATGAAATGTAATTGAAGTTTAATTATAATTTTACCCAGACATCACTAAAGCACTGACTTCGTTGAGATTGCACGTGCCACTGGTATCCTGTCGTCACGATTGAGAAATCTTATTGTAATAACAAAGAGAGCATTGCTGTATTCCGGAGCCCCGGCATGTACGCCTCAGGAGGGATCCATTAATGTTCCTTCGTTCTGAACGTCCTTAAACCGTAGCGACGTACGTGAAAACGTTATTGTCGCCTAATAAGAACTGTACACGATAGGCTCCGCCCAAATTTAGCAGTTCTCTTTCTTGTACATCGTAAATATTCATGTTAGTTCTGAGAGCTCTTCTCGAGGCATAAGTATGATCGTAAATTCCCTAGCATTAGGCCTGAGTGCGTAATAGCTTCAAGTCTCATCTTCAGGAATGTGTACAGTGAGTTTGGATCAGAGCGCGGAAAAGAGTGTCTTTTGAATACAGCTTATGAAGTGTGGCTTTTCAAACGACCCTGCTTATTTTCATTGAAGAAGAGGCAAAAGGTTTCATATTGAAGGAGTGCAAGGCGTATTACCTATAAAATGGGGTTCAAATTTGCCATGAATTCATGGTCAAGTGATACACTTATTTTATGTTTTTAATAAGGAGTAAACGGTCATTAAAACAAAATCTCAAAAAACACGTACACCAACAATAGCCATATCAACAGTAGACATGCGTTTTCGAAGATAATGTTCATGGTAACTGTGGTGACATTTCAAAACTCTTTCCAACCACGTGGTGTAAAATGAAACAATTGTTTTAAAATAGGAAATGAACGGTATTTTAATCCTATTCAAAGGCAGTTACTATTTTTTCTCGACAACCAATTCGATCTGATGAACAAACGTGACAATGTCATAAGCTCATTTACTAGCCGTGTACATCTCTGCGAGGGTTGGTGATGGCCCATTGTTGCGTATTTCTAGGATAATAAGGATGGGTCGTAGAGTTCTGTGGCGTACCCAACCATTATATAATTGGCCATTATACAATACCATGTTAAAATGGGATTCGGTTAGGACATAGAACGCACCGTCCAATAATATTCAGGCTGGTGTCCATAGTCAAACGATATTTGGTTTGGCATAGAAAGCAACGTCTGATGGTATTCAGGTGTGGTGCTCATATTCAAATAAGATTTGGTTGGGCCATAAAAAACTCTGTCTAATTCAGGTTGGTGCTTGCAACCAAATGAGATTTGGTAGGGACACAGAAAGTGCAGGCGTGATGTGCAAGTTATGGAATTCCATATCTGCCGTCGTGCGTCGCCCGTCGTGCGTCGCCCGTCGTGCGTCGCCCGTCGTGCGTCGCCCGTGGTTTTTTTTGTTGCGCAGTGGTATTTTTAACATGTACATGTACATGTCCTTGTTCGATCGATACACCATGCCTGACCCTCATTTTAGCAATAGAACGAGAAGACGTATATGTATTCGTTTTTGCAGCTGCGCCAAACTCCAATTGAAAGAAGAAATAATATCCTAACGTGTATATGATATAATACCATTTTGGTTACATAAATAAATTAACAAAATAGACTTTTGTTAGGGTAGATTGTTTTTCTCGATAACTTAGTTACTCTAGACGTAACTTTACTCGTTAACAGCCTGACTTTAGGTCTATACCCTATGTAATATTTCTGTCTGTCCCTGCACGATATTCCACAGAACGGAATGTAAATAATAGATTATTTACAATGTTTGATTCCTTAATAGTTTTCATAAGAGACGAACTGATTCAACATTATTTTGAGGGCGGGTATACCTATGATGAAATCTGCTGTATACTCCAAGTTAGACATGACTTTAGTTGCAGGTTGGCTCACAGAAGTCTTTTAAAGAGAACGTAACTCATCGCAGAAAATTTTGCAACCTCGAACGGCTCTGTCAGGCCTACTCGGACGACAGCGTTGGGATTCCACTCGACAGGCAACCACTACCAGGGGTAAAGCCCGCATAATGCCACGACCACGGCGACGGACATCCTCTCCGGCTCGTCTACAGGACGGCGCTCGGCCCAGTAAGAAAACTCGGCGGGGATTCCAGACTCCCGCAATTGCACGAGGAGCTGTGCGCCGGTACCCAGCCGCAACGGTGACTCAACGTGGACAGGGAGATGTCAACGACGCCAGTCGCTCGTCACCGTCATTACCTACAGTGGCGCCGACGGAGGTACCTGCAGCATCTTCACTGGGCGTGGTGGCACAGCCAGGAGTCTGTCAGCCAGGGGATGCTACCATCATGTCCGTGGGTTACCAGCCCGATGCCGCCAGAACCGGAACTGCAGGATGGCGGCCTACCTCGAACATCAAGCCAGGCCTCACAAGGGTTGAGTGAGTTTTCTGACGCAAGTCTCTCGCATGCCGTAGATAAGGGACATATGCCTTTGACCGGGACCCCAAGATTGAATCTGGCCGGTGCCATTGGTGGGTTCAATGACGGTATGGGGTGTACAAAGGTTGCAATGGGGTGTCTCCAAGGCGTTTCGGCTGGCCCTACTCTTATTCCCCGCTTGGGCTAATCTCGCAGTCTGTGAAAGAGACTGATATGGAAAAACGAGAAACTGATATGTCTCTGCTAACTGCAGATAGCGCAGCGTCACTGCTCGCAAAGGCTCATAAAGACCCCGAGGTTGCACTTGTCGTTAAGGGTGATAGGATGTTTTTGCGGCCCAGCTCGTCCCCCATCGGCCGCCAGAACAAGCTAGATTCGTGGGACAAGTGGGTCTCTGCATTCCACTCTTTTATGGCTATATACCTCATGAAGTTTCCCGATAGGACCATTGAACTGCTTAAGTACACCGAGATCGTGTGCACAGCCGCAGTACAATTTCCAGGCTATGGGTGGCGATTGTATGACGAACAGTTTCGTCTCGGCAGGCCACGCAACCCGATCGATCATGGGCTGAGTTGGATGCGGAGTTGTGGTTAACGGTGAGGTTGTCTGCCGTTGGCTCAGCCAGCAATACCGCTCAGATGGGTGCACCCTGGTAATTAGGCCAGAAATATGTCCGCCGAGCTCATTAATAAAAGTTATACACTCAAAATATTCTATATTAGAGAGTCCTGAGGGCCATGAAATTGAGGAATTGGAGAAATATGGCACTGAACCCCTGGCCCGGACTCTA